CCACAGTGACAGCATCACCAGGTGACAGCACCACAGAGTAACAGCCCCCCCCCCCCGCAGGAAGCCAGTGCCAGGAGCGTCTGGGCTGGTGTGGACCTGTTATCCGGCCATTCCGGGAACCACTGAGGCTGGGTCTGAGTCCCCTTCCCACCTTCGTGAGCTCAGCAGAGTTCACAGTAGAATCTGTGTTTGAAAAGGCTCTGCTTTCCCTGCCCTCGGCAGCTGGCCGTAAGCACGGTATGCTGAGAGCGTATTTCTCAAGTTCCAAGAAACAAAGATGTTTTATGATCCTGACGCCCATCCAGCAGCAGAAGGCCGGGCACACGTCCAAACCTTCACTGTATCTGGTGCCGGCCACGTGGGGCCCGGCAGGGCCAGGGGACAGCCGCGGCTCCCAGCTCCCGCCTCCCCGCCCGACACGGGCCCCCGCCAGGCCCTCTGGCCTTGCTCAGCCTCCCTGGCCTCCTCCTGCCCCGTGGTGCCCAGCTTCCTTCAGGGACTCAGGCCTCTCCCCTCCCTGCCCGGAACTCCCACACCCAACACTCACTCTCCAGCCCTGAACCACACCCAATACCCTCCCGGCCATCTGCAGACACAGGGGACCTGGCCCGGGTGGGTGGGTGGGTGTGTGGGTGGCTTCCCCAAACTTGCACGCAGGTCTACATCATTCCTTGCTGAGTCTGACTCTCTCTAATTAGCCTGGACCTTCCCGGGGCGGGAATTCGGCTTATTCTTGCTTCCGCATTCCCAGCCCTCCCCACTGGGGCGCAAATCGGGGCTGCAGGAATAAATTAAGGAGGAGATTGAATCCTGCAGCCAGGAGGTCAAGCAGGACCCCAACACTTCCTCTCCCAAAGTCCCCACCACGGAGGGGGCCGGGCTGGGCCTGGGGCGTACCCGCTGGGCCCAGGGAGAGGCTCTCCAGCAAGGCCCGTGCCCCAGGCTCCTAGCCTCCGCCCTCCGAGGCCGCGACCACGGGACCCCACCACCCCTCCCCACATCTCCGTCCCAAAGGGTCACAGTCTGGCTCAAACCACTTCCCGAATACAATGTCATCGTAATTAAATCCCAAATGCATGCTGCACATTGTGCGGAAATACAGCCTCGCTGCGGGTGAGCAAGAGAAAATGAGTTCTGAGATGAAAGCAGATTGTTAACTATTCTCACTGTGATGTTTCCATTACAGTGCCTTTATTCCGTGCGACCACTTCGGCCGGACGGGGTCTGCCGAGCAAGGAGCAGTTTTAGGCAGAGCCGTGTTCCTTGTGTCCCACCATGATTAACGTGAAAAGACAATGAAAATCACATCTTGGAGTGAGGTGGTCCACAACAAATACAAGCTTTCTTATCACAGAAGGCTTTGTGCAAATTCTCAGAGCCTAGAAGTGTGTTGTATTAAACTCCACTCAAGTGACATCCATCCTCTTCCTCCTGACCAAACCTCCCAAAAATGCACCTTCTCTGAGCAGCTGTCCATAGTGGTGGCCTATGCTGGGCTGCAGGTAGCTCAGCCCCGCGGGGAGGCCGCACAGAGAGGCCGCAGGAGGAGGCCGTGTGGAGAGGCTACGTGGAGAGGCCAGCACAGCCCCACGGGGAGGCCGCACGGGGAGGCCGCGTGGGGAGGCCACATGAGGAGGCCACATGGAGAGGCCGCATGGGGAGGCCGCGTGGAGAGGCCCGATCACGCTCACAGATCGAGGGCTGCTGCTTTTGCACAACAAGGGGGGGGGTGAGTCATTGCGATTGCCAAACTAACTCCCGAGGGGAACCCACACAGCTCTTCCACCACGGAGCATGAGCCACTGAACCTCCCCCCCTCCACCACGGACGGAATGACCCGCAAGGGATGGGAAGGTCTGGGCGTGATTCGTGGCTACCATTGCGCTCTGTCTGTCCTTGCCATTTACCTAAATACAATTCTCCCTCTGTAGCTGAGAATCGGGGAACCAGGGCCATCCAAGCAACGCACAGGACCGGCACGCTGAGCACGCCGGGCTGGGCTTCTGGGTTCCAGCCTGCCCCCACGCCTGCTCACGCAAACCCACCAGCGCGGGGCCCATCCCCGTCTGCAGGGCAGCTCCCTGGCCCCCACTCTGAGCCAGGCCAGGGCCAAGGACAGGGAGGGAAAGAAGGGCAGCAACATGGCCACCATGGCTCTGGGTTCTGGAAGTTTCCTCGGCCGTTGCTGAGGGGTTTGACCCCGCTGTCTCCTCCCACAGTGCCGGGAGGTCGCCTGCAATGGCTGCCGTTTCCAGTGGGGTCCCTGGGGGACTGGAGGGGGGTGGCATTTGTCAGAGTGCCCGGTGGGAGGTAAGGAAGCCCCAGTCCTTACACCTGCCAAACCCGCCAGCCAGCCACCGCCAAAGTGTGGCCTCAGCTTGGTAACTTCTGAGCATCACACCGCTTGCTGTGGGACGGGGCCTCTGCCCTCCCGGGGTTCCGGGGGCACAGCCCGGGCTGCCCTCCCGGCTCCAGTGAGATGTCTTTTGCACAGTTTCCAAGCCCACCCGTGCCAGGAAGCAAAGCCCTTCTCCCTGGAGGCCCTGCGAGGGCCCAAGCGGCCGCCGGCTCCCCAGATCCCGCGCTGGACGGACGGGGAGGAGACACAGCTGTGGACAGTGCGGAGAGGCGGCGGCGGCGGCAGCCCAGCCGGGAGCAGCAGCCCCTATGGAATGCGAAGGCCTCGGCCCCTCCGCCCACCTCACCCCATCTCTCAAAGGAAGCCCTCCGTCCCCGGCCCCGGGGCTGTTTAGAAGAAAAGCGAGGTCGGCGTGGTGAAGACGCTCCAGGAGGCTGGACTTGCTCATTAACTCCTATTTTTAAAGAAAGTGTGTTTGAGCTTCTCCTTCTTCTGATCATAAAAGGAGAGCAAAGTCATTTCAGAAAAGAAAAGAGAAAACACACCCGGGAACGTGTTTGGTCCTGTGCCCTCTAAGCGGAAAGTTCTGAACCCATTTCAGCCTGGGGAACGGAGTCTCCAAATTGGGGGCCCAAGGGGGGGATGGGACGGGGCCACATTTCCCCCTGTCAGGACAGTTGGTTAAGAATGGGGACAGGCGGGGGGCACTGGGCCCGCGCCCTCTTTGCAGCCCAGCCATGGCCCTGTGCTCCCCACCCCCCGCCCCCCATGGCCTCCTCTGGGGTGTCAAGAGAGCCGTGCGGGGCAGGGGATGGCTGTGCACGGAGCCTCTGCTCCGGGGTTGGGCCACGGCTGTGTCCGCCACCGCCTCCACCCTCTGCTGCGAGCCTTCGAGCCTGTGAGCCACACCAGCCCCCTCCCTTCCCGAGGAGCCGAGCCCTTCCGTGCACTGATGCTGGGTGAGCCATCTCTGCACCAGCCCCCGTTCCTGGAAGCCACGCAGCCCCGGGCCGTGAGCACCGACCGCACAGCATGGAGCCAAAGCAAGGCCGAGGCGGCCCGAGGCCGGGGCCCGCACCGTCCGCTGCCCCGCGCCACCAGACCCCCATGCCAGTGCCACTACTGTCTCTCTCCACTGGCACCTCCAATGCACACCAAGACACGCGTGCATACACATGCATGTACGCACACCTGCACTTTGGCAGCTGGTGGTCTACTTGTGTGGACCAAGAAGTACCTGGGGGTTCTAGAAGGTCTCCAAGGCCTGGGTGCACATCAGATAGGGGAGGGGGAGGAGGAAGAAGAAAAGGGAGATGAGATAGAGGAAAAGGGGGAGGAGGAAGGGGAGGAGGGGGAGGAAAAATGGGAGGAGAAGAGGGAGAAGGAGGAGGTAGAGGAAGAGGAGGAGGAGGATTATGAGGAGGAAGAGAAGCAGAACAAAAGGGTGAGGAGGAAGAGGAGGAGGAGGGGAGGAGAAGAAAGAGGAAAAGGGGGAGGAGGAGGATGTAGAGGAGGAGGAGGGGAGGAGGGAGAGGCTGCCCCTCCACTGCCAGCCCGGTGCTCTTGGGTAAAGCCCGCCCCACTGGGTCAGACCCCAGCTCTGTGGTCACGGGCAATCGGCACGACCTCTCTGTGCGCCGGGGACCACTCTGTAAAGCCCCGCGCAGGTGAAGAAGAAAATGCGGAGTGCTCCGTGCACGCCAGGCCCGCTGTCGGGACGTCTGCCGCCAGCCGTGCGCACACGGAGCTCCGCACCTCCACGGGGTGCAGGGGCGCTGAGGGAAGGGTTCGGAGCACAGCCCGTCCCCGGGGTGCAGGGGCGCTGAGGGAAGGGTTCGGAGCTCCGCACCTCCATGGGGTGCAGGGGCACTGAGGGAAGGGTTCGGAGCACAGCCCGTCCCCGGGGTGCAGGGGCGCTGAGGGAAGGGTTCCTAGCCTCTCCTGGGGGACAGTGGGCGTGCTGGGGCCGGCAGGCGCTGTGCCTTGTCGCCCCGCACCCGCCACCGGGCATCCCTGCTCCAACAGCGCGGTGCCCCAAAGGCCGGCGCCTGGTGACTGCGGTACGCCGGCCGGTGTCTGGGGTGTGTGGTTTGTGACTGCCCAGCTGCCACATCCCAGTTCTGGATTTTTATCGGTTACTCGGACTCCTGAGTCTCATGGATTTTCCTGCCCGGCTGGCTTCAAACCATGGTCCTCAGATCTCAGCCTCCTGGGTGGCGTGGTGGCAATGCGTGAGCACCGGGGTGCCGGGGTGGCTCCGGCCGTTTTGGTCACGGTTGATGCTGTGTGGTGAGCGCCGCCGGTGGGAAAGGGCCCGGTGGAGTCTCACACGGGCCGTGACGTGACTCCGGGCTGCCGCCCCCCCCCCGGGCTGGGCCACGCACGGGCTGGGCCACGCACGGGCTCTGCCTGGTGGTTACCATGAATGCTGATTGTCCAATATTCCCCGGCAACGGAAACTAACCAATAACAGTCACATCTGGAAAATTACAAACGACGGTGCAGTGGGGACTCCTTCCTCCTTGTCAGATTTCAATCTGAAATGAAGTCGTGGCGCTCCGCACTAAGACAGAGACCCCGACCCCTGAGTAGTTTCATGCCAACGGCGCTTCTGTTAATTCGGCTTGGAGCCATATCAGCTTCAGGAGGTGCTGTTGGGCTTTTCCTCCCGTTCCTGCCCATCCTCCGGCCTCACGCGCTCCCGGGCCGGCTCCAGTGCGCTCACACCCGCCTCCCGCCCCACCCATTGCTCCCCCAAGCCACTCGGGTGACACTGCAGAATGGCTGAGGGAAAGCCGGGTCTCCGTCCTTTCCCCAGTGGCAGGAGCCATGATGAGCCCCCGGTGGCTCTAACCCCGGAACTGGCTGCTGCACGCTATGCTCAACACTGCAAACCCACCCGCCAGGCCAGCTGGAGAGCAGGGAGATAGCCGGAGCGAGGGCACGGAGAGGAATAAAGAAGCGAGGCTGGGGGGTTACAGCCGCGTGGAGGCGCCCGGGGGGAGGGGGAGGCGGC